ACACACACACACACACACACACACACACACACACACACACACACACAATGGAATAGTAAGTCATCAAAAAGAATGAAATCTTGCCATTTGCAACGCCATGGATGGAGCTACAGAGTATCACGCTAAGCTTATAAATAAGTCCGAGAAAAACAAATACCATATGATTTCATGCATTTGGGGAATATAAGAATCCGAACAAATGATCATAGGGGAAAAAAAGAGACAGGCAGACGGAGAAATGAACTCTTCACTATACAGAACAAACTGATGGTTACCAAAGGGGAGGAGGGGAGGAGGATGTGTTAAATAGGTGATGGGAATTAAGGAGTACACTTGTCATGATGAGCACCAGGTGATGTATGGAATTGCTGAACCACTAAATTGTACACCTGAAACTAACATTACACTGTATGTTAACTAACTGGAACTTAAACTAAAAGAAAAACAAAGTTAACATGAAATAATCATAATAGGCATTTCAAAAAAGTTAACCTCATAAGACTGCTTCTTATATTAAAGGCAAATTATAGGCTCAATGTCAAGAGAATAAAGTTTTTCTGGAAAGCTTCAAATCTAAAATGCTTAGTAAGGAAAAACTATAGAGGAAAAACAATACAAGCAATAAACTTTCCAAAGAAAGCTGTGTATTGTGTATAAAATATTCAAATATTACAAATGTCCTTTTAAAACACTCTTTTCTTTCTGCAGATATTACCTGACTACTACATAGGGCCTAACAAGCAAATAAGATATTATGAGAAACTAAGTAAAAATAACAAAAAATAATCTCAGAAGAACAGGCTGAAATATCTCCAAAAAAATTTTTGCTAGTAAGAAGCAGACGAATGTAATATGAAGAGGTACAAAAGCTTCCATAACATATACACATTATACAATGCACTCCTATAACATTTTGAAACACTACAGATATTACTATCAATGTCTTATTTCAACTATATTAAACTGATTAACAGCTTATAAGAATGCTGAAACTAAAAAAAGAGAGAGAGAATGCTGAAACATATAATTTGGAAACTCCCAAATCAGGAGAACTTGCTGGAAAGTTTTAAAGAGTTATTCTCATTCTATTCACCAGGTGCAAAAGAAACACCCTTTGGGGAAATACAAGGCTGAAGAAAGATATTCAGTACGATAGAAAGTGAAAGTGTCACACATAAATATCTATTGGAGAATGCAGAGATAAATTCTAAAGACAACATGTTCAAAAGAACTAGGTTCTTATTCCATTGTTGCCCCAAGCTATAAATGGGCAGCTTTCTTAACTTCTTTGAGCCTGTATTTCTTCACCTCTAAAACAGGAAAAAGTAACACAAATAACTGCTGTAAGGAATAAGTTAAGTTGTGCAAAAAAGTTTCTACCTAACAATGAACCTGTCAGGGTTGTTTACATGGCTGTACTTTCTGGAAGCCAAGGAAAAAACTCCAAGTGATTTCCTCATTAAAATTTACTTACTGCAGCACTCTTTCCTGGAAAGTTGAAAAAGGCATCAGGACCATACTTCTGAGGCATATGCTTTAACACAGACAGCAACTTCCCAGCATGTGGAGGCTATGAAAATAATCAACAACTCATTAAACACACTATTCACCATAAAACAAAAATATTTATTTTTAATATACCCATATTAAATCAATATCATGCATCTTCAGGGTCTCATTGGCCTTGGTATTCCCAGAGCCTTCCATAGTGGCATTTTTTTTTTCATCTGCTGATACATTTATTATTTTAGTACTCAATAGAAAAGTTCAACAGAGCCAATGAACACTAAGTTTCCAAAGAAAAAAGAGTAATGAAGCCATTAGAGAATGCTGCAAAAGCCCTGTCCTTCTTGGCTTGTGGGCAGTAGACCCAGATTCTTCATCACTGTGCTCTGGGATGTCTAAGGTGCATCTTCTTGAAAACAGTGTAGATTATATCCAGGAGCAAGAGGGCAGAAGCTGGGCTCAGTTGTACGCTGGGGAAGTGGTTCTGATCCCATTTGCTCGCTGATGTAGTGATACACCCAGTCCTTCTTTGGGGGACGGGGGTGGGTGTGGGCCAATATGAAGCACAGATGTAACAAATATTTCTGGGGCCTGAGCACTGGGAAGGTGGGTAGAGAGCCCAGGTGAACTGAGCCCAGGTCTGACTAAAAGTTTTGGTCAAAGCAAGTTGGAAACTGGATATGGGTTGTTACATTGTTAGATGCAGTTTGAAAAGTTTAATATACCCAAGAATAACCAAAAATGCTATTAGCTAAAAGCATATTATTTTCACAAATAATGCTTACTATATTACACAGACCGCTTTCAAAGAAACAATAAAAATATTTTAACCTTAAAACCATCCAAGAGGTGGTACTCTGAGACAGAGGAACATGTCCAAGGTCACACAGGTAGCAAATGGCAAGGCTGGGATCAGAACTCAGTCTGACTTGAGAGTCCATACTTTTAACCACTACACTTTTACCTTTCTATTATGCTATCTCTCAGGTGGCTTCCCACTGCCTTTAAAATTAAGACCAAAAGCCTTAACACAGCCCACAAGATACTCAATCTACCTCACTAGCTTCATTCTGCATTTCCATCTTCCCCTCTCTTTGCACTCCATCCACAAAGCCTCTCTGCCTTCTTCCCACAACAGGGCCTGAGTACAAACTATTCCTTGTGCTTAAAATGTTCTCACTAGGCCTACTTCCCTCCCCTCTTAACTAAATAAATCTTACCCATCTTTTAGTGCTCATCTTAAAGGTCACTTCCTCATAGTAGTCTTCCCTGACCTCTGAGACTGGATCCAATCTCCCTGTCATATTTCATTCTACCATATTACCTTTACTACACAGCATATAAAAAAGTTGTAACATTACATTTATTTAATGCCTCTTTGACCCACAAGTCTCCTCTAATACATGAAACAACAGCTAAAATGAAAAGACTTATTTACAAGGAAAAGTAAAGAACAATCATATATACATTATCATTTTAATCAGTTTATAAGCAAACAGGATATTAGTACAATCTTCTTCATTAAAAGTTGTAAACAGGGTCAAACTACAAGTGAAATCACTGGCTTGCCTTCATCTTATTTGGTATCTGCTCTATTTATTAAATGTCTAAAAGAGTCCAGCAATCTTTTACCTAAATGTTAAGTGGAGAGCTTTATTATCTTTTTTTAAGATTTTATTTGTCAGTGAGAGAGAGAGAGAGAGAGAGAGAGAGAGAGAGAGAGAGAGAGAACGCGAGAGCATGCATAAGGAGAGGGAGCAGGAGGCAGAGGGAGAAGCAGGCTCCTCGCTGAGCAGGGAGCCCAATATGGGACTCAATCCCAGGATCCTGACAGCTTTATTCTTAAGTGACCAAGAAATTTTCAATTAGCCACATTGCTCAATTATAAAAGTGCAATAACAAGTAACTACAATCGTATTGATTTTTTAAAATAAATTCCAAAATGAAATAACTAAAAATAACTGCAGTAAAAAATAAAAATACAATATTATAGCATTTCCATCTGGAGAACCATTCCACAAATGTCTGAGGTTTTTTTCAGTTTTTCAGGGTTTTTTTTTTAAGATTTTATTTTTAGGTAATCTCTACACCCAATGTGAGGCTTGAATTCACAACCCTGAGATCAAGAGTTGCATATTCCACCAACTGACCCAGCCAGGCACCCCAAGGCCTTGCTTGTTTTATTAACAGCTCATTGTTTTCTCCCGTTATGCCCTAAACCTATTCTCATTCTACTCCCAGTCACATAAGCAACTGTATAAACATACTTAAATCTTTTTATGTGTTCCTTAAAAAATGTTTTTGTGTGACTGTACTTATAATTTAAATGATGTTGGGTTAGATATGTTTCTTTCTTCCTGCTTCCTGCATCTATTCATATTAACTTTTGCATCGATGCTAACTGCTATATAATAATCTGTTTTATGCATCCAGTACATTTTACCTATCTACTCTAATGATAAGCCCCCATGGTGACAATTCACTGCCACCAAAAATAATGCTTCATTGAATATCTTCATGTGTATTTCCTTATGAAACTAAGAATTTCATGGAACATATACTCAGAAGCAAATTACCAAGTCACTGGATATGGGTATAATTTATGTGACTAAGTAGTGGTAGATTACTCGAGGTTGGCTAATGAGTGTTCACTCCAGCCACTAGCATACCGGTTCAAAATAACCATATGCCTGTTTTCTGTAAGTGATAAATCACTAAATTCTACTCCTGACACCAATATTACACTATATCTTAACTCACTAGAATTTAAATGAATATTTGAAAAAAAAATAAAAATGGAAAAAAAGATGGGATATGAAATAGACAAATCAAAATAATGTATGTAACTACAAGGTATGTAATCTAACATTTATGTAACATAACCCTCAGAACTTAGATGCAATCACCAGACCATGATAATTATAATTATGCTTCAATATCCTAATGTGCCCACCATAGCAAGTGATAGGGAGGAAGACATCAATCCCATCAATTTCATTTAAGCAGAGCCATGTTCCTTTTTGATTTAAAGAATTCTGTTTTGAGCTAGTTTTTTTTTTTTTTAAAGATTTTATTTATTTGACACAGACAGAGATAGCAAGAGCAGGAATACAAGCAGGGGGAGAGGGAGAGGGAAAAGCAGGCTTTCTGCTGAGCAGGGAGCCCCAGGTGGGGCTCAATCCCAGGACCCTGGGATCATGACCTGAGCCGAAGGCAGACGCTTAACGACTGAGCCACCCAGGTGCCCCTAAGCTAGTTTAAAAGTAGGCTATGGTCTCTCTTGTGCTATCATTACTACCATTAGTGTGAAAACAGTTCTCAAAATATAATTAGTGAATCAAATAATTTTCCGTTTCAACTACTGATACAAAGACTTAACTTGCTGAAACAAAGCAAAGCTGCGAATCAGCTAATAAATATAAATGCTGACCCCACCAAAAAAAAATTAAATAACTCTATTCCACAATTATATTTGCTATTATCCAACTTTATAATCCTTAATACTAATAGACATAAGGTGACATATCAATATTTTAATTTGAACATCTCTAGTTATTAGTGATTTTGTGTTTATTAGGTTGTGGGGTTTCTATCACTATAAATAAACATCTATCCATATCCTCTGCTATTTTCTCAGAGTTTTCTATATTCACCAAAAATGTATTAATTATACATTCACAATAAATACACTGAATAGAAATCAAAACTAAAATGTTTGAAACCAGCATATAGACCGTCCTTGACTTCTGACAGTTCAACTTATGGTTTTACTTCACAATGCTGTGAAAGCTATATGCAGCATTCAGTAGAAATAGTACTCTGAAGTTTGATTTTTTCCCAGGCTCATGACATGCAATATGCTCTTATGACACTGGGCAGTGGCAGCAAGCCACAGATCCCAGTCAGCCACAAAATCACAAAGGTAAAAAACTGATACACTTACAACCATTCTGTACCCACACAACTATTCTGTTTTGCACTTTCAATAGAGTATTCCATAAATTACAGAAGATATTCAACACTATACTATAAGATAGGTTTTGTGTTACATGACTTTGCCCAACTGTAGGCTAATTTATATTATATTCTGAGCACATTTAAGATAGGTTAGGCTAAGCTATGTTGTTTGGTAGGGTAGGTGTATTAAATGCATTTTCAACTTTTGACATTTTCAATTTACAATGGGTTTATCAGGATGGAACCCCACTGTAAGGTGAAGAAGATCTGTATTTCCTCTTCTTGACATGATACACTAACAGGACCTAGACTTATCAAAGTACCATAGACAACCAGAATACTGGATAAAATGTATGAAACATACATTCTACATGTTTTTAGACACGGAAGAAGAGGTAGCTCAAGACTGTTATACTTGAGAAAAAGGAAACAAAATGAGCCATGAGATTACCAGACTTTCTACCAGGATGCAATTTCTATCACTGCACAGGAAGAGGGAAATAAAATAGAATTTGAAGGTCTCACTGACTTGATGAGGCAGAAACTGGAATATGGGTGGTCTGAGGTAGATAAAAGCTTCAAGGCAGAGTACTAAAGAGAAAAGAGCTATGCAGACAGGAAGCTCCAGAAATCTGTACTGTCTCCTTGGCTTAATATCAAACTATTAAAAAGAAAAAAATTGTCAAATAAAATCTTTTCCCGGGGGGGCGGGGAATTGTCAAATATCAAACTATTTAAACCTACCATAAAACTGAACAAGATGAGGCCAAGATATTAACACCTATAAGTCAAAGAATTCCCACAGCTACTATACAGCCAGAAATTATTTGAGACCCTACTAGGCACTATGTAGAGACCACCATCTTACACTACCTCTTATCCTATACCTGAGACTTAGGGTCATTCACAGAGACCCTAAAAGAATCAGGCCTCGGGCGCCTGGGTGGCTCAGTTGGTTAAGCGACTGCCTTCGGCTCAGGTCATGATCCTGGAGTCCTGGGATCGAGTCCCACATCGGGCTCCCTGCTCAGCAGGGAGTCTGCTTCTCCCTCTGACCCTCTTCCCTCTCGTACTCTCTATCTCTCATTCTCTCTCTCTCAATTAAATAAATAAAATCTTTAAAAAAATAAAAAAAAAAAAAGAATCAGGCCTCAATAAGGAGGCTAAACTAGACCTAGAGTAACAGCCAATCTGCACCTGACCAAGAGAAAACTTTTAAACTAGCCTGGAAGGGTAAAGTGATCCACAAATAACTTAATCTGCCTGCAAAAACAGTCTAACAATCTGAAAAGGGATATGACAAAATCCAGCACTCAACAAGGAACAATTCACTATATCTAATATCACTCGATCTAAAATCACTAGCATTAGAAGGAAAATATGACCTGTAAGCAGAAGCAAAATCAGTGAGTAAAAAACTGATCTAGAAAATGACAAAGATGATGGACTTAGTAGAGAGTAACATGAAATCAACTATTATTATTATAAATATGCTCAACAGTCCCAAGGATTTAAAGGAAAACATGAACATAATGAGGAAAAATAGAAGATACTAAAAAGAACTAGATTTTTTTTTAGACATAAAAAAATCTGAAATCTGTAAATTTTAATGGATAGAATCAACACACTGCAGGCAAGCAATTACCTTAAAAATACAGTAACAAAAGTCATCTAAAATGAAGCACAAAGAGAAAAAGCTAAAAAAAAAAGTGAAAAGATCTGAATGACCTACTAGACATTATCAAGAGAGCTAACATACATGTAATTAGAGTCCCAAAAAAGGAGGGAGGGACAAGAAAATGATATTTGAAGAAATAATGACCAAAATATTTCCAAATTTGCTGAAAATTATATTACAAACATAGATACCAGAACTGTAATAAGAATAAACACAAGGTAAACTACACCAAGAAACAATAAAACTGCCAAAAATCAATAATGAAATCTTTTTTTTTTTTAAGTAAGCTCCACGCCCAACATGGGGCTTGAACTCAAGACCCTGAGATCAAGAGTCACATGTCCTACCAACTGAGCCACCCAGGCACCCTCAATGATGAAATCTTAAAAGTAGCCAAAGAACTAAAGTTTGATAAAAAGAAGCTTGAATCTAACCACTTTAACACAATAAACTAGAGTGTACAATTGCAACGCACCAATTTAAATATATTTCAACAGAACTAGATTAAGGATTAGCTGTGGCTAAGCAGTGCTGTGAGCAATGATCTCTAAAGGGCACTAAAATAAGCCTAGAAATGCAACAAAAATGGAGAAAATATTTATTAGTATTCCTCTAAGAGGTAAGTAACCAAGTGGTAGGAAGAAAAAGTTTGTTAATGCACCTGGAGTTCAAAATAAGTTGATCACTACTGCCATTTATTGAAAAGGACCACTAAGTTGAATCTGTGGAGGGTGGATCCAATTAACTGCACAGCTTGTGTTCACTGAGTGGGTTATTCAAGTTTAAGGGCGACAGCTAAACTACTCAGGTCAATAGAGAATCTAGGTGCTGCTACCTAACACTCTTCCTTCTCTATCCTTACCCTTTTCCTCTAATAAATGTTAAATGTATATTTGAAGACTAACAGTTTGAAGAAGGGACAAGTTTTAGCCTGCCTGGAACACCCAGTTCTCTTAGTCTGCACCTGTGTCAGGTCATGGCAAAAGTAGCTGTACAGACCTAAACGCTATTTTAATTTATCTCTTCCCTTCAATTTTACATTTACCCCAGTAGAATAATAACAGTTGCTGTGTTTGAGGAGAGGAATACTTTCAAATATCAAAGGGTACTCATTTTTTTACCCATTGTCCTTTATTTCCTTGAAGTTTACTGAAGAACAGCTTTAGTTCTCGAACGGTCAAATTATAGCTAGCCAGCACTCCCAACATGTCAACTAAAAGATCTGGAAACAAAAGAAAACAATAAAACAATCAATTTATATTTCTTCAATGATTAAAATATACTGTGCTTATTTAAGAGTTTGAACACTAAAGTTCCACACACGTTAGATACTCAAATATTTCTGAAATAAATATTACTAAATGAGAAATACAGTATTTAAAAATCAAACTTTATTTCTTCACATCCACTGTACAGAAAAAAAATCATACCTGCTATCATATTGTCAACTTTTTCAATTTTCCCGAGCACTTTCTCAACAAGGCCTACTTCAGCGCAGACTTGAAGGTTTCGTATGCTTTTCTTCAGAATCGCTGTAAACATGCTCCAGACTTCTGCTTGGCAAGTAATGTCACATTTTTCTAGTAGGTCCACCATGCAGATGATACTCTCACCTTCTTGGATAATGAAATTCATTTCCAAATCAAACTGCCCTCCTACCAGCTTCCAAAAAGGGGGAAAAAATTAAAAACATTAGTGCTTTCTCGATATAACTAGAGCACACTCCTAACCTTTAGGTTGGCAGTAACTACCCATACATAGTATTCTCTACCCTCTACAACAAAAGAGTCCATAAACACACACAGCTCTAAAAAATAAAGATTCTAAAGAAACCTTCAAGTTAAGATGGCACAAAGTCAAGCAAGACTTACAATATAAAAATGGAAATATTTTTCAACAGAAACAAATACAGGATGTCTTTGGTAAATCACTACCTACTGCCCTAATACCAATAAAGATCTCACTTTTAGCTCATTAACTGCTTCTAATTCAGTATTTATGAATTATAAACTCTGTGAACTATCCACAGCAACCTAGAAGTGCTTTGCTGCTTATACAAAATACCAGCTCACAACAGAAATGAAAAGCTAAAAATGCTCAGAGTGGACACAGAACTTAAGAGTTTATATTTGCCAAATTCCTAGTTTATTTTACCTACCGATTTTAATACCCTTCCTTCCCTGTCAATAACTAGGATAACTTAAATATAATCATACACCCAAAGAAGTAATCAAGAAAACTTATTTCATTGACACTCTCAAAAAACCCATCCAGAGAAAGATATACTGACCCATCCCCACAATGCCATCTCACCCACAGCATCCTCCCACAGAGGAGAGTTTTTTAAATTTTAACAAATCCCAAGTGTTTAAAGGAACTAAAATAGTTTTAGAATTATCTTTGCAGAGCTATCCTTATCAGCTAGATTTCTAAAAGATATGTCAGAAATACTACATACATGATTCATCTACACTCTTGTCCTTCTGAATATGTCTTGGTTTTTCACTATGCATTCCTAAACCCAAAAAGTGGTCAAGAATTAGGAGAAAGTGAACTTTACAAAACAAAATCTAACAGCTCATAAAAGAATAACAGACACACACAACCAAATAGTTTACACCAGAAAAGCAGGGAAAGTTCAGAATTAGAAAATCAATTAAAACTCCTTGCAGCCAAGGACTGCTATCTCCCAGGTTCTGCCAAAGATACACACTGGCAAGAGAAAGAAAAAATGGAAAAATGAACAACATGAGGCAGCATCTGCATGTAGGGAGATAGGAATTCCTGGCTAGTGCAGTGATAAAAGCATTTGATTCTTCTGGGAAAGCTCTGGCAGACATTTTAGCGTAAAATTCTTTATATCATCAGGAACATCTAGAGCTGGGTTTCTGCTAAAAGAGCCCCTTGGTGTCATCGGGTCAATTCTCCCAGCTACATGGTCGTGGCTATAAAGTATACATGTTTAGTTCCCTAGTCCCCCCAAATATTCTGTTAAATATGTAAAAACTTTTTTTATTTGGTTTTGTGAATATTATCTGCTTGTCCCGTCTTTAACTTTTCATCCTGAAATAATTTCAAACATTCAAAAAGTTGCAAAATAGTGTAGAATTCCTGTATACCCTTTACCCAGCTTCCCCAAATGAGTATATTATATAATCATAATAAAATCATTAAAACCATAAACTTAACATTGATAAATACTACTGACAAATCTATAGATCTTACTCAAATGTTGTCACTTGTCACACTAGAGTCCGTTTTCTGATCCATGATCAGCATCCCTTTGGTCTTCTCCATACTGAGACTGTTGCACAGGCCTTCTTTGACTTTCATGATTTTGATGCTTTTGAAGCCTATTTGCCAGATATTTTATAGACTCTTCCAATATGGACATTTCTTTCAAGTTTAAATTCAGGTTATGCATTTTTAGCAAAAGTATTCCAGAAGTGATGTATGTCCTTAGCATATCATTTCAGTGATACCTAATATATGCCACACTACTGGTAAAGTTAGCTTTGATCACCTGTTTAAGATGGTCATATTTTTTTTCCATTTTAAAGTTACAACAGGGGTGCCTGGGTGGCTCAGTCAGTTAAGCGTCTGCCTTTGACTCAGGTCATGATCTCAGGGTCTTGAGATCAAGCCCCGCATCAGGCTCTCCACTCAGCAGGGGAGTCTGCTTCTTCCTCTCCTTCTCCCTGCTCATGCTCTCTCTCTCTCTCAAATAAATAAAATCTTTAAATAAAGTTACTATTTTTCATATTTAAATCATATATCTGTGGAAAACACCTTAAGACTATGCAAGTAACTTGTTTCTCATCATACTTTTCACAACAAAATCCAACAACTCATAAAAGAGTAAGACACAACCAAATAGTTTATTCCAGTTTTATGCATCCATAAATGGATCTTAAGTTTTAAGATCCATTAATGGATCTTACCTGTAACTGTAATTTCTGTGGCATTGCTAAATGGTGGTTTTATATTTCCATCATACTTTATTATTAATTGTAAAAGACTTCCTTTAATAATAAAATATATCAATCACACCCAAAAAGCCAGCATCATGCTCGCATAGGAAAATTGGAAATGAGTCTCATGAAAGTCAGACACAAGGTTGGGATGTGACTTTCATCACTATCATTTGATATTATTCTGGAGGCACAGAAGATACATTTAGTCAAAAGGCAGCAACATATAAATACTAGAATGGAGGAATTTAAATTATAATTACTTTGAGATGATGTGATATATATCTGGAAAACCAAGTACTTCAACTGAAAAAGTACCATAAATGAGAAAAATATTTGGTATTGGAACTATTGACACAGTTACCAATATAAGTCAATCTACTCCCGCAAAAGCTAGGTAGGTAGGTAGGTAGATAGACAGACAGACAAACCTCAAAGGAATTGCATTAAATAGAAGAAGCCACATGCAAACAGCTACCTTACCAACTAGAAATTTATCCTACAGATACATTTAGGTAATGATGTTGGATACAAAAACTTCAATGTAACAAACTTTGAACAGAAAATAAAAGCAACAATCACCCCAAAAAACATTATCAGGTAATAGTTAATAAAGTCGTGTATGACTATATAATGGAATACAATGCAACCAATGAAAAGAATGAGGCAGCTCCATCTGACATGAAAAAAATCTCTAAAATACATTATTTAGATGAGAATATCAAGATGGAAAAAAATGTGGTGAACGGTAGGCTACAACATGAATGTAAAACATGAATATACATAGGCATATACCTACGAATGATACACAAGAAACTAAATAGTGATTGCCTCTGAAAAGGCAACTGAGCATCTTGGGGGAAAGAGCAAAGGGAGAGTTTTTAGTACATACATGTTTGGACATACCCACACAGGTCTAAACAGGTCAAAAATCTAGTTGCAATTTAGGAGACCTTACCTTCACCTTAATATTACTTACATCAATCTTCCACTTTAATCTGTGTTTATATCCACCAGTAACCACCCTTACAAGAAGCTACAGAATTAATTTTTGAAAGTAATTTCCAAAAAACCCCAAATACTTCACCAGCTTTTAAATTGAGTTTACAGTATGAGAGCAGTATCCAGACAGGTGTTTTAAATATTTCTCCATTGCTTTAAATATTATAAAATATACCTTTCAAGGAGAAAATTGATGGCAGAAATCGGTACATACAAATGTGTGGTGTATTTGATATACTACATGTATGCATATCTATTATACCTTAAAAGCATGCACAGGGTCTACAGTATGTCATGTTAACCCTTTCTAATAGTTATTTGAAGCTGATCAACCTTCAAAACACAAATTTGTTTTCAATGACAAGGATCACAATCCAAGTCTAGGCATTGGCTAGTTATTATCTGAGCTGTAGTAATGACTCTGCACTACAAAATGTAATCTTCCCAAATGTCACAGTAAGTTATGAATATCTGAGCAGCCTAATGCACTTTACTAGCCGTGAAATGTGAAAATGTAATCTTATTACCTTTTTTATGGTTGTATTTTTTTGAATAATGTAGCCTAGAAACTGATGTATAGTCTTTTTCTGCATTTTAGTATGATTTGGTCTCCTATGCTATATAGAACATTTTTCACAACTCTCCATTTCAACATATTTTAGTCTTGGCCTGTACTTCATAAACAATTTTTATAGCAACCTTCAGGGTGGCATAACATGCTTTCTACAGGTTATAGTTTAATGTACAAGATTATAGAAATTTTAAAGCATATTATTCAAAGAATTCAAATAAACCTTCACAAGTTTTGAATTAGGATTTTAATTGGGCATGATTACTTTCATCAGTGGTTATATTAATAAAATACTTTAAGCTAAAATTAAATGTCACTAAACTTAAGTCACTTGTATTTTCAGAAAACCAAGAAACACATATGGACCAAAAATAATTATCTTCTCTTCAAAAGATTTATATAACTGGAAAGACTATAATACATAGAAAATTCTAATACTTCAAAGTAAAGCTATGTTTTCCCTGGAATCTTGCTAAATTTTTCCTCAAAGATATGGCCAGAGTAAGGTATAGCAGAAAAACTGGACAGAGTACAATCACAGCTTATGCTCCTAACTAGATATTTTCTACTTCTTGTGACAAATCACATTTTTTTCTCTGGCCCTATCTACTTGTTTGTAAAACAAGCCAAGTAAAAAGTAAGCTTCTTTTATTTATGTGCATCCTTCAAAAATGTATTTACTTTTGAAAAGTCCTAATGTCAAGGTATCCAATTTATCCCTAGGAATCCATTCCTAAGTGAATGTGACCCTATACATGTTTAAAGTCACTAGAAACTTACTAATAGGGAGAAGTTGAGAGAAAATGACAATGCTGTGGCACAGGTTATAATGTCTCCCAATTCACATTTTCTTCTTCTTCCATAATAAAAGAGTTTCTAGTTTGGTACATGAGGGCCAAGCAAAAAATTTCACTTTCCAGAAGTTTCACTTTCCTTGAAGTTACCAACCATGTCACCAAGTTTGACCAAAGAGGACAGGCAGTAATATGTGCAACTGCTGGGCTATTACTCTTAAAGGAAAGAACACAACTCATCTTTGCAACTTTCCTCCCTCCACTTACATAAGCTACTGAAAAATGGCAAGCACTAGAGTAGCTATCTTGGAATCTATGCCATAA